AGTGACAAATGACCTATCAAGTTCAGCATCAACTGTGATTCCTGCTTAAGTGTCTCATGTGGTTGCTGTCTCTGTGAGCCTCACTGCTGGAGATGAACAGCAGCTTCAGCTGCCAGTGTGCATTGAGCTGAGAGCTTCTTTGGGTCTGGCATTGCTTTTCCATCTATCCAGACATGACCTTGTCCCTAAAGAACATGCCCTATGGTAGGTTTTTCATCAGCATAGAGACTGTGCTTTGATCTACTGTGGCTCTCCAGTTACTGGCCAGCTTCTCTGGCAGCAGCCAGATTGTTCAGGTCCTGGCCTGGTGGGAATTCTGTTTCCACAGGCACCGGCTATATTGCTCCCACCAAATATAGCTTTTTAATTAAATCTCTATCACTCTATTTATCAATATGACTTGGAAATCAAAGGCTGGGGTGAAAACCTGCTAGCTCAAAGAGGTTGAGTAGCAAATAGCTGACCCTTTCTCTTAGCCGGCATCTCTGAAAGAGAGTATCCTTCTGCTCTGCCAAAACAACAACAAAACACACACCACAAGTCCCTTCCTACTACTTCCTGTGTGTCTGCCTGCTGTCTTACAGACACCCTTTGACTCTCTATGATGACTTACTGTCAACTAGCTGCTTCCTGACCCAAGGTTGACTTTATTTAATGAATGCAAATGCAAATTTGGGGTTCACAGTGTAATCGAATATCCCACAACACCCTACTTTTTTCACTATATTAGATTGCTTTTAGAACATAGGCTATTCACAATGGCAGGATTTGATGAACATTAAGTATGAAATTTCATGGTAAGACACAACCCAAGAAGAAAAAATTTCCAATGGATCCAGGCACAAGAATGGGCATTCAAAGAGGCTGCCTAAAAGTTCCTGTAGCCACATGGTCTGCTCTCCAACTCTTCTTTTGTAACATCTATTAATGGGGGCAGCTTACAGTTCTGGAATATTAAGAAATCATGCTGAATTCAGGGCTGGAAGGAAGCCTCAAAAATTAAGAATGCTTGTTTGCTGTGCAATCATGAGGACTGGAGTTTGGATCTCAGCATCCACATAAAAAGCTGAGAGTCACACACACACACACACACACACACACACACACACACACACACACACACACACACACCACAGAGAGTTCTCTCCAAGAGGGGTGGAAGCAGAAGAATCATTTGGGTGTTTCTGGCTTCTAGCTTAGCAAGGAAAACATGAGACCCAGGTTCAGGGAAGATGCCATCTTAAAGGAGAGTAATAGAGGTGTTCTCTTTTGGCCTCTACATGTGTGTTTAGCACATGTACCCAAACACTCACACACACACACACAGAGGGAGAGAGGGAGAGAGTGAGAGAGAGAGAGGAATGAGTGCATAAAGTTTTTAAAAGAAATGATGTATTTCAGGAACGTTAATTCTCATGTGTATATTGACAATGGAAGACAGTCTCTATCCCATGTCTATGGATTCAACCAACCATCCATCACAAGTATCTGAAAAACACTACATTTGTATTAGCCATGCATAATAAGTATGTAGAAAGTGTTTACCTTGCATTATGAATTAGATGATTTTATGTAAACACAAGAAAGCATATTGGTTAATTGCAATACTGTGACTTTCAGTGTGTCAGGTGGTCCTAGATACTAGGGAATGACCACATGCAGGAAATCTGTGGAAAGACCCTAATTACATGATATCAGCTTAAATGATGAAAACTGAGAAGGTCAAGTCATACATTCATTCAGCAAGTATTGCTGAATGCCTGCTATGAACCAGATGTGGGTGTGGAAATGGAAGACATATTTTATAATAAAATTACATAAAATTTCTTCCTTCAAGAAGCTTATGCTCTGGATTGGGGAATGAATGAGAAAAAGATAAATTTATCTGTTAAGTCTTGTGATCATAAGAAATATGGAAAAAATAAGGCAGAATGTAGAGGCTGGGGATACTGGAAGGTGGATGGTGGTTGGAGAAGACCATGCTGAGGAGGTGATGCTGGAGCAGAGCCCTAGAGGGGCAATGCTGATAGATGGTCCAGGCAGGAACTCCAGGCACAAAGGCATGGAGAAGAAGGCACACTTGATGTGATCACTACATGATGACAGGTAGTTGGAGAGAATGTATGAGGTGACCCCAGATTCCTTAGAACAAAGGTGATGAAACAAGGCTTGCCCTTTTAAACATTAGCTTGGAAAGAGTTCCTTACTTTTCTAGCTTCTTTGAATAAACAGAAAGGCCAGATCTCACCTGTTATTAACTTGGGAGGCTTATTCATTTTATCTCCATCCCTGCTGTGCCCATATAATTATACTGTGAAGAAGAAAGGATTGGGCTTACTAAATATAGCACTCTCAGACATCTGATTATCACCTATCAACCAAGTACTCTCTGTGGTATTTTCTTAATAGTTTTCCATTAGTGGATTAACTTTTGAAACTTCTTCATAAACAACAATCTGGGCAGGCGGCACTAGGTGGGGGTGTGAGTGGAATGGGTGAACCCTATGTTCTAGAAGAGAGCCTCAGTTTGATTCCCGCTAACTACCATGCAGCTCACAGATTCCCCAGATTCCAAGAAATTCAATACCCTCTTCTGTCCAACAAGGGCACCTGCACACAAGTGTGCATATACACACACATAAATAAAAGTAAAATACATTGCCTGGCTTCTTGTTCATGCTGGGCATCAGAGTGAGTGAAAGTCCTAACTTGATGTTGCTACTATGTTTTGAGTTTATTTAAAAAATAAATAAACAGGTCCTTGGGAGATAGCTCAGTTGGTAAACTGCTTGCTGTGCAAACAGGAAGACTGGAATTCTGATCTCAGGGTAAAGGTGTGGGTGCAGTCGTGTGTGCCTATAATTCAGAAATATATACTCAGAAACAGGCAGGTATCTGGGGCTTGCTGGCCAGTCATATCAAGACAGTCAAGGAATGCCAGGCTCAATGAAAGAACTTGTCTCAAAAAGTAGGTAGGGAGATGATGGAGGAACACAATGTGAAAACTAGCCTCTACATGCCGTCTCACTCCTGCACAGATGAAGCCTCACATATGAACACACAGGGAGACAGAGACAGGGACAAAGAGACAGAGAGATTAAATAAATACATACACTCGTGATACATAGCTGATTCCTCTGCTAAGACATTCCATCCGGGAGGCAGGAGAATGGGAGGGAAGCAAGACGGAGAAGCAACAAGAAGTTACAAGCACTCCTCGCCTCACCCTCACCACTGCCTGGTCCCAAGTTAGATAAGCCAAAAACAATTGGTAGGTTGCAGGAAGCTTTTTAGTGGATCTGCCTTCAAGTTGGGCCAACAGTTCCAGGGGCAGAACTCCTATGAGTGGTCCCTGTGCTGGGGTGGGCTTGTTGACACATTTGCCTTTTGGTTGTCTGGGTTCCCGCCAGTGTCTCCAGCATCCCCAGTGTTGCTGAGTCTTGACTTGGGGAGAATGTTTCTTTCATAACTGGTTTGTTCACATCTGCCTAGGAAGAGCTGTATTGAATGAACATAGTCCTTCTTTTAAGGGTTTGTGTTCTTCCTTCTGTCCAAGTTTGAAAATCGCAAGCTAGGCTCTTCAGGCTCATAAATAGCTTCAATAAAAGATGGCAAATTTTAGTAGTCACCTTAAGAATCAAAAGTTGTTCCTTGGGTTTTTATAAAACACTGTGACACCAACAATGAGAGTGTGGCTCTATGCAGGAAAACAATGTAAGAAAAATGTAAAAGTTGAAGATGTGCTCAAAAAATAGTTAAGCACAGATTCAGAGCATATCTGCCTTAATGATGGTGGTCAATGGTTTCCTACAGTGATCCAAACCAGGATTTGATTTTAATTGTGGTAAAATGCTTTTATGACAAGGAAATCTTTGTGCACACTGGGGATGGGATGGTGTTTGTGTGTGTGTGTGTGTGTGTGTGTGTGTGTGTGTTTGTGATATCTACCTGGGAGAGGATGCACTTGCCAATATATGAGCATATAGAAGCCAGAGGAAGGCAATGGATGTCTTCTTCTAATGGCTTCATATATTTTTTTGAGATGTTGTCTCTCACTTAACCTAGAACATGCTGTTTGCCCCAGTATCCACCTGTTTCTATCCTGCCAGTGCTGAAGTTACAGGTACATGCCCCTAGGCCCAGCTACTGCATGGATACCAGAGATTCAAACTCAGGTCTTCAAGTTCATACAGCAAGTACTTTACACATTGGATCCATCTTTGTAGCTGGAAAGTCATCATCATAATTTTTGTAGTCCTCCTCCCCCTCCTCGTCCTCCTGTAGCAAGGGGGATTGAGCTTAGAGCTTTGCACATGCTAGGCAAGCCAGGAATAGAGTTTTCACAAAGCTGGTCTGTGGCTAACCTGTGTTCATGACCCTCTTAATTTTGAGACACGGTATCACAAAATTGTTTGCGCCGAACTTGAACTCACACTGTGGTGTATTTATTTCCCTTTTTCAAAGGTGATACTTTTTGTGCATTTTCAAGGGCAAATAAAGCACTTCACTCCTTTTTTTGAGCACCCCAAATCACATATCACATTCTCCTATTTGGGTGCAAGGTTGGGGAACATTTATACACTACCCAGTTAAGATTGCTCTTGGGAGCTTGTTAGCAACAGCAGGTCAGTGTCTACACTGGCTCCATGACTCCGCATGGTTACATCAGGAAGTATATTTGGGATAGCTAAGTGCCCTGTCTAGGGAAGGACTGCTTGGAAAAAGGCTCCTATGTGCTATGCACTGTGCCAGGCACTCCTAAAAACATGGATGCTCACAGTAACTCTATGTGACATTCCTTCTCACTTTTGGGGAAACAGCCTGCAAGGGCAGCAGGAACAGTCTAGAGTCCCACATTGAGGTAGCTGAAGCATTGCTGACACCAAGTACCTCCCTAGCAGGTCAGATACTGTTAAATGGAACCTCAGGTGCCTTATGCCCTCTTACAGAAACTGTCCCTTTCTTTCACAACTCCCATCTCTATTTTTATTTTCAAACAGACTAAAGAACCCGTAAAGAAAAAAGAAGACGAAGAAGTGAAACAAACAGAGGATGAGAAAACCAAGCAGATATACAAGAGTTGGAAGGAGGATTCAGAATGGCAGGCATCTTGTGAGTACCCGGGGGCCTCAGAAGCACCATCCAGGCTCTCCACTGTTCCTCTACACCTCAACGATTCATCCGGGAGGCACAGAGAGTGCATCCATCAAGTTGTCACTCAAATGTTATCAAGAAGCTACTCAGGTGCCTGAGTAGCAGAATGGCTTTCAGAAACATCATAACTGTGTAAAGATAACTGTTAAGTTATGATGTTTCTGTATGGTGAAATTGTATATAGCTGTGGAAAAAATTCCTTGAAGAATGTTCAATGACATTAAAGTATGTCCCTTTCTTGGAGAAGAAAACATTATAAGTAGTATAAAATATCACTATTTTAAACATCTGAATTATGAAGGAAAGAGTGGTGAAAATTTCTTGGAGAAGCTGGATTTTAAATTATTCATTTGAATTTTACTTCTTATTCTGTTTTGCTTTTCACCTTAGCTTGGCTTGTTTCTAGCCAGCTTTTCTTAACTTACGTTATCCCATCTTCCTTTAGCCTCTGGGCTTTTATCTCTCTCTAATCTATATACCTTTCTTTTTTTCTTACTCTGTGTAAGCTAGAATAAGCTGTGTAGCTAGGTAGCTGGCTCTTGGTGTCCTCTATCCCTTTTTTTTCCTGCTCTTTTGCTCCCCCTCTTACATCCTTCGCCTTCTGTTTGTTCTCTCTGCTTGCCAGCCCTGCCTATTCTTTCTCTTGCCTGCCTTGCTATTGACCATTCAGCTCTTTATTAGACCAATCAGGTGTTTCAGCCAAGCATATTAACACCACTTCACATAGTTAAACACATACAATATAAAAGAATGCAACACATCTTAGCATCATTAAACAAATATTCCACAGCATAAATGAATGTTAACATATATTAAAATAATATTCCACAATGTAACTTTGTAATACAAAGCATACACAATTGAAAGGTAGGGTGTATGTGGATCACTCTCATGACTCTATGCCTCTGACCCAACATTGACCCTCTTTTGAGCTTGTACTGCCAGGGCCAAACCAGGATGGCAGGACAGGCAGAGGACAGGCAACCCAGGCTGAAGAATGGATTGGAATCTTTGCTTGGCACCAACAGAGAAGACTCGATTACCTGATAGTCACTTGGGATAGAGAGGCAGGCAGAATCTAAGCACCAAGATTCTCAGGCTTCTAAGGGTCTTGAATTAGTCTGCAGTTCCATTAAAATCAATTATGCTAAAAGTTTGTGGCCTTATTGTGCTAAGCACTGAAACTCTTGTATGATGAAGTTTTTAGTGTGTCTTCAATGTTAAACATGACAATATCTAACCCACAATGCCTGAATTATTTTTTAAAAATTCAATGAAAATGGTTATTGCAAAAAAGAAAAACAAACCAAAACTTCCTGAAACATTGAAGGCAGGCAGTAGTGATGTATCCGTTTAACCCCAGCACTGAAGAGGCAGAGGCAGGCAGATCTCTGGGTTCCAGGCCAGCCTGGTCTACAGAGCAAGTTCTGGGATAGCCAAGGCTATATAGAGAAACCATGTCTCAAATCTCACTGCCCTGAAAGTAGAGAGTTACTATATCCTGCATTAATCTTTAACACTACATGGCTAAAACATGACAAACCCCTCTATTTTAGAAATTAATTAATGTTAAAAGGAATCCTGCAAAGTGTTTGTACTTTTACATATTGTTCTGAAATTCTCCACAACATGTTTATGGAAAAAAAAAATCCTTTACTTTCTGTCTGTTTGGCCAATTCAATTAAGCCTATGGTGGTCCCTAGATATGTCAAGCCTTGCTGTTCTTTTCCTAATTCACCTGCTACAGAGAAGTCCTTCCTAGTCTTTGTTCATGACTTGGGATGCACTGCATGCTGACCACATGTGTCAGAGATGTGGTGAGTAGAGATGCACTTCATCCTAACCATGCATGTATCAGGGGTGTGGTTCTGGCCTCTAGTGTTCCTTGTCTCTCCAACCAGGCCTCACAGTTTAGTCTTACTAAGTGCAGAAACAGTCTTGTTATGTATCATCCCCTTCTCTTTTTATCCTTTGTTTTTCTTTCTTCTTCTCAGAAAGCCTTGAGCTCAGAAAGCCTTGAGCTCCGAAATGCAGATAGGAATGCTGCAGCGATCACAAGAGAGCCCTTAACATGTGATAGTAGGTACAGGAGTGATTGCTAATATTTAACACAAGGCCAACTCTGCCAGGAGCCTTCCCCAGGCACCACTGTGCAGGGCTGAGATCCTGTGTCTGTGGGCAAGCCCAGAGGAATTCCTCAGACATTGTTGTCTTTCTAGTGCGAAAATCCAAGGCAGCTGATGAGAAGCGACGGTCCTTAGCTAAACAAGCACGGGAAGACTACAAGAGGCTATCCCAAAGGGGTAGGAGTGGAGAGGGACTACAGAACCCTCTAACTGGTCCACAGAAGCCCAGAAGACCGCCTCTTCCCCCGAAGCCCCAGTTCCTGTACCCACTAGGAAATCCTCCGAAGTCTTTAGGGTAAGAAACCACACAGATAGCTTCATAGCACTGGGTTGGCTGATTAAAGCTGTGTGTCTTGGGACGTGGTGGTGGTGGTGGGGGTACTGGATTGCTGCTTAGGTCAATGCAGGCTTGCCTCTAACCCTGCTTTCTCTCTTGTAAGATATCTACAGTGGCTATAATTAGAACCCAGCCACAGGATGAAGATATCTAGTTAGGTGATTTCCTGTTTCTCCTCTACCCAGTGCAGAAAGCTGAAAGGAAAAGGAAGCATTGATGGCAGGATGTATGATGCTCAACATTGCCCCTAGTGGTTAAAAAATAACAAAGTAGGATCCTGTAGGTAAGAAGACTCCATCCACATTCCTGGGTCTGCTTTCTATTGCTGAAGAGTCAGGGTTTGATGGCATCTTTCTAAGATGCAGAGCCAATTAATATTTTCAGGATTTCAAAATACTCCATCTTGGAACCAAGTCTCTATTTAGTGATGAAAGTACCTTTACCTTCTAGGCACAACACATGCTGGTAGGCAAAAAACAAGAAACAAAAGAATATAGTGATACCTGGAATAAAACCCCATCACTCATGTTTACTAACAAATTCATTTTTAAATGACTACTGGTATATAGAATTGTCAATATACTAATATTTATTTGTTTGCTTGTAGTAGTGATCAAACCCAGAGCCTCTTACATGTTAGGCAAGCACTGTACCACTGAGCTATATCTTTAGCCTTAATATTCTAATATTTAGAAAGAAATGTTTAAGATAAACTACTGATTATATGATCCAGACTGCACTGGAACTGCCTTCTGAAAGAAAAACTAAAAATACTTCTCTGTTAAAAGAGTTTGGCAAATGCAGCAAATAATCTCTGTTTTTTTTTTTTTAAGTTTTTTAAATTATTTTTTCTAAATGGGGATTATGACCTCAGAGGAAACACAAGGGTGAATTATTTTTCCTACTATAATTATTTCTCCTTATTCCACTGAAAGTTCCATATTGAGATGTGATGACCAATATTAAATGACCCTGTACACATTTTGGGAAATGAGTTTTTATTTTTTATTTTTCACTTACAGCTAAAAATAAAGTCAGGAAATACGTCACAAATAAACTCCTGCACAGGGCTCTGCCTAGTGTAACTGGCCGCAGGCTTTCGTGAACAGCTTTTTCTTGTTTTCTGGCACCTTCATGGAGAAGCAAGGGATATGGCTCACACAATGCTCCTTTTCTATAGTTTTTAAAGTATTTTATGGGTTACAATGAAGGTGGCCTTTTAAAGGGTAGGTGACAGTTCTTGTTGGTTGTATCCAGATCATTTTTTTCCAACTTAAGACACTTCACAAAGAGCTTTTGTCAGTGGATGAGGCGACTCTGGGCAGCTAAGACACAGGTCAGCCAGGAACCAGCCCAGAGGAAGATAGACACTAGCCTGTCCTATGTATGTGGAATTTTACTCCATCTCTGAGAAAAGGAAGCTAATGTGGAAAGTAGTGTGATAATTTGTCATATAACCTCATATGGATGCCAGGTGTGCTTCCTGGGAAAGTCAAATATTATAAGACATTTTCTCTAAAATCCTCTGATAAGTGATAATACACCTATATTTGCATATATGCATGGATGTTTGCAGCGCTGACATGCCACGTGGAACCCATGATATGATATGCTGACAGCAGAATCACAAGGAGCCATGTTAATTTGTATGACAGGAAATTCCAGTAGTTCATTTAGTCTCTTTCTTTTAGAGTTAGATTCTGCTCATCTAGCAGCCTCTTGAGCAGGATTTGAAAATAAGTTTATTACCTTGCAGATCTGCCTTATGTAGTAGAACCCACCCATTCCAGAAGCCCCTTCTGATACTGAGTTTACTTACCTTCCCTCCCTGGTTTGCAGACTCATTTCCTTTCCCCTTTTCTTCCAAGAGCATCTTTTAGTACAAATAATCCTCCTCAAAGTGTGAGAGAAGAAGCAAGCGAGGAAGATGAGCAGAAACCGAGGAAGAAGAGGAAAAGCAAGCGATGAACAAGTTAGAGAGGCAGCTATCTCATTACATGTGCTTGCCTTTGTTTGTGCATCCTTTCTCTCTAGGAAAATAGCTGGACTTCTGAATGCTCCTTTTTTCAAATGTTAATTGGAAGCTAGTGGAACTTCTAACCCATAGTAAAGTGAATTTGAATGTAACACAGTAGTGGTAATTGCTATGACTGGTCCTTTAGGACCAGACAGATGAATGTGTTTACCTCTCTCTGATCCTGAAGTACTATACAATGGTGGCATGTCAGGGGCCCAACCTACCATTAACTCTACCTCGTGATTACATGTTGGAAATGGAAATGCATATAATTCTCTTCTCCCACCTCTGTATCCCTTCTCTTCTCCCCCCCTCCCATTCCTGCCCCCTCTTCCTTCTTCCGCTTCAGCTCTCCCTCTCTGTATAAAGTTGTATGGGGACTTCCCAAGACCCCTTAATGAGAGCAAAATGTGAAGGACACCCAAGCCCCTTGTATAAAATGGTGCCAAATGTGCAATATTGCATGTAAAGCATGCATAATCTCCCTGTATTTTAAATAATCTCTAAATCACTTATAATGACTAATGTAAGTGCCTATAAATAAATAAACATTTATACAGTGTTGTTTGGGAAATAATGACAAGCAAAAATATCTGTATATGTTTAATATAGTAGAAACTTTTTTCTTGAAATATTTCCAGTTCTCCATTGTTTGAATTGATGCAGTCCAATTGTATGTGCATAGATATGTATACACACACATACACGCACACACACACATATATATACTATATATATATATACACACACACGTATGTGTGAAGCTATATGATATATGCATACGTATGATGGATTATTTATTTTTTCCCTTAGATTACAGTTAAAACTTTAATTCTTCTTTAGCACAATAAAAATATCACATCTATAATCCGATTATCATAAATTACCATAAGCTTTCTTTTATTGAAAATTTATACAATATATTCTTAAAGCAAGTAATAAGATTCTGAGACACAATACAGGCTGATTGAAGTTTATTCAGGGGGAATTCACTTACATAAGAAACAGACGACCACCTCAGGTTCCTGCTCCAAGGACGTCCTCTGGTCTTCTCTGTCTTTGGCCCCAGAAGTAAGAGAGAGTTTCCTGGTCAGGACCCATATAGACCTAGAGTCCACTGGTCAGGCCCACACCTGTTCCCACATCCCAATGGGCGTGGTCAGTATAACGGGCGTGGGTGGGATGGATATCTCACTACTTATTCTTGTCAAGTTTCCCCTCACTCATTTCCTCCCAGGTCTCTTTACATCTCTACCCATCCAACTCTATATCTTCTTTCTCTCTATCCTTAGAAAACAAGCAGGCAAACAGAAAAGTTAACAAACCAGAATATAAAATAAATAACTTAAACAGTGAAAAAGTATGACAAACATTAAAAACATAAAATTGGAAATCATAATATATAATACAAAGACCAGCGAGATAAAAAACAAAAACAAAAACAAAACAAACAAAAAACCAACCAACCAACCAAACAAACAAACAAACAAACAAAAACAAAACAGCCCAAACAAAGTATTATAAGACAAAAGAAAAATTCCTAGAACACCATCAAGTTCATTTTATGTAGGCATTTGCTTCTGGGCATGGGGCCTGCTTCCTTTAAGTGTGGTTTGTACACCTGTGAGAAAACTGATTTTTTCCCCTTTGTTAGTTGGTCTGGGTTAGGAATGGGAGCGCTTGTCCACTTCCCACACTGAGCACTGGATCCCAGCTGACTCAGACCTGTGCAGGCCCAGTGCATGCTGCCACCATCTCTGTGAGCTCATGTGTGTGTCAGTCCTGTTGTGTCTAGGAGACACTCTTCTTAGTGTCATCCATCCCCCCCTCCCCCGTAGCTATTACACTCTTCCTGTGTCCTTTTCCACATGGCTTCCTGAGCCCTGAGGGTAGGGATGTGATGAAGACATTTACAGCTGAACAATGTCTGGCTGTGAGCCTCAGAATATGTTCCCATCTGCTGGATAGGGAAGACTCTTTGATGGAGGCTGAGCAACACATTGGTCTATGAATACAGCAGAGTGGAGGACACTATTTCAAATTAGTTAGCTCTAACTGGAGACTCATCTTACCCATGGCAGGAATCAGGGAGTGATAAGGACAGAGTCCAGCTCCACCCAGGAAGACATCATCCGATGGTTCAAAGAGGAACAATTGCCATTCCGTGCTGGTTACCAGAAAAACTCAGACACCATTGCTCCCTGGTTCCATGGTGAGTACAGAGACCATCTCTGTTGGCACATCAAACAGTGCTTGCTCAGAGAAAGACAAACAGTAAGCCCCCCCCACACACACCCTTATTTGTGCTGTGCTAGGATTCTTTCACAGTATGTCCACAAAGCATTTTCTCAGTTCTTTCCAAAGAGCTGCCTTCTTGTGTCTACTTGGAAAGCAGTAGGCATTCATGGCCACTGCACATGATGAGGGTCAATTTTTCACCGCAAATACAGCATGCCAGGGTAGATGGGGACTCAGAAGAGAGAGTGTAACTTCAGTGATGCCACTGTCTTCCTCCCCTGGAAAGTCAGTGGGGCAGTTTGATGTAGTGAGGCAGGGTTAGCAGGCAGAAAGCCAGCTATAAGCCGCTCTTTCTTAACTAGATGAGTGGCCATGAAGAAACAAGTGGTCTCTTTCTATAGCTGTCCAACTTGAGCCCAAATTTCCTCATCTTTTAAATGAGAATCTGGAGCCTTTTGATCTTGAATCCTGGGACTTTGATCTGTTCTTTCCAATGCTCTGGAAGGTGGAGTGTTTAGAGTCCCCAGACCGAATCAGCTGATCATTTCAGCATTTGACTTAAGAGACTTGCTTAACCGAGGCTCCACTGTGAAATACTCAGAACTATTTCATTTCAAGAAAAGTCAGCTGTTTCTTTAAGACCTGTGCTTAGGTGCCTGGGGGATAGCTCTACAGAGTTATTTGCTGATAATATACAAAGTTCTCAGTTCTAACCCCAACTCAGAAAAGGAAGAAGGAAGGAATGACCTATGGCTGAGTTGGACGTCTTACCTAAGGATACATCCACGGCATTCTCTTCTACTTAGCACATTGAGTATCTTGGTTTGCTCTATGTTTAAGGCATCTCATTTCTCAGTCGTGTCATTAAACACATAAATAGATCACAGAGAATGAGTTCCCAAATACACAACCTGAGCAACCACTTCTGAAGCCCCCAGCTCACCCATGGCAGCTTCTCCGTGACTATTGCTTTTGCAGCTGTGGCCCAGCAGATCTACCAGCTGTCCTTGAATGTGTTTGAGGGAGAGACTGTAGTTTTGCTCATACCTGGGGGCCTCCCACCTCCTCCAGGGGCAGGGTTGTAAGTGTCCCTCCCTCTGTGCTGTTGTCAGAGACTGACAGAGGATTGGGTTGATTCTGTGTGCTTTTCCCAGGACTGTCTGCTGTCCTTAGTTTTCCTTTCTAAGATAAGCACAGGAAATTAACCTTTGTAGTTTCTGTGTCCCCGGACAGTGGCTGTATGCTGTCGTCAGTGATTATGACAGCAGTCACATTTTCATTTCTGTGTTGTTGTTTTTTTAACATCAGGGTATGAAAGTGTTATTGGAAGTGTTAGCCAATGTCATTAAGAATTCTGATGTATGAACGGGCAGTTCTGTCTGAAGGAGTCCTGGAAAGCTAGAAGGCACAGCAGGACTAACATTCTGCTGGGAGCTTTGCCGAGAAAACACAACTCTGGAGTGCTCCATATAATACTTTATAAGTATGACATTGTTGAATTGTTCCTATACAAATATTTGTCATAGTTATAAGCAAAATAAATAACACGATAAATAAATAATGGGATAATAAATATGCAGTCTCTCTATATATCCTCATCTTCCATTTTAGGAAGACTGAGTTTCACATTTCCATGATGGAGAGAGGGTGGATCATACTTCTCTCTCTGAAATACAACTGCTCATGTGTTTACTAGTTAGTACTACATAAATGGCTTAATGTCACTCTTGAGCACATCTCGTCATGCCCATATAGCATAATTTCATCAGAGACTTTATCTAGACATTGAATTTCTGGAAAGGAGAGACATATGTATCTTTAAATATGTGTGTTGAACATTCCTAATCCAAATAGCCAAAGCTCAGAAATACTCCAGAACTTGCACTAACTTGTTGCTCAAATATTTCAGATTTTAGAATGCTTCTTGTCCTATATTTTCTGGTCCTAAATGCTCAATTTGTAGACCTCCTGAAAACCCCCAAACCTGAAACACTTGTGGATAAGTGTGTTGAACAAGGTACACCCAATCCATACTGAGAACTGCTGAATGCCCTGGTGTGATTACCCTAGTGTACACTCCTGCCGCCATGCCCGACTTTCTGCTTTTCTCTGTACTTACCAGTGCTTGATGTTGCCTTATCTCATTTCCTTCTGTCTTGTGGCTCCACAGTGGATTTAATGATTGCATTTGCCCTGATGTGCAGTGAGCTCAACCCCTCCTGTATTTGTTGGGTGAGTGTTTGCTGTAAATAATTCTTCAGATGTTTGATCATTTTCCAAGGACATTTATTGAATTTTTGTTTTGCTCTGTAGAATTTTATATATTCTAAATACTAATCATTTATCAATTATATGGGCTATACCTACTTTTGGTCTATGATCTATCTTTTAACACCCTGCACATTTTGAGGTACAATTTTTCATTTTAGTGCTCTTCAATTTAGTTTTTCTCCTTTATGAGTTTTTGATATATCATGTACAACCAACCTGTGGTTTATTTTTTCATGGATACAAGGCATGCAGATATCTTTCCATTTATTATTGTGTCACATTATATAAAATTTACCACCATTTTGGCTTTTTTTTTTTTTAAAGAAAAACTGTTTTTCTCATGACATTTCATACATTTGTGTTTTTGATGTTAGTGATATTTACCTTCCTTATCGGCTTCCCTTGTTCTGCCTTCTACCTTGCTGTCCATTATAACAATGTTATCTGTTTCTCTGTGCATGTGTGTGCTGGCCTGCATGCCTGTGCATGGGTGTGCAGAGGTCAAACTTGTTCCTCTGTCACTCTCCACTTTGGCTTTTGAGACACCATGCTCACTGATCCTGTAACTTGCTGACCAGCTTGTCCTTGGTACCTGCATGTCTCCATCTCTCCAGCACTGTGCCTCAGATTCAACACCCAGCTTTGGCCTGGGTGCTAAGAGTAGGAACTCAGGACTTTTTAGTTGTGTATCAGGCATTTTACCCACTGGGCCATCTCCACAGCCCTTTCACTATTGTTAAATGTGTTGGTGTTTGTTTTCTGTAGTTGTAGGTGTTCTCTCTGCCAAGGATCAGGATGAAGTGTACACGTGAGGTCTTTTCATGTCTTTCCTGGGCCTGCCCTATATCTGGGTATGTGTGGCAGCTTTCTAATTTTATACCATAAAAACACAGTTTTGTGTGGCGGCTTTCTAATTTTATACCATAAAAACACAGTTTTGTTTTGTTGTTTTTTTAATGTCCTAGTCTTTAATTTCTACCTTACAAGGGTGAAAATGAAGAGAAATAAAAGAGGCAAGGAGTTTTGGAATTTAATTTCCAGAACATCAAGGCGTGAGCTGCACTTTCTCCCTTGTGAATGGGGAGGCGGTAAATATGGGCATGGGTTTCTGTATAGAGCAAATGAGCTCTTGTGTGAAGAGTTCAGAACAGCCCCCCCCCCCAAGAACAGGGCTTCAGTTCCGGCTTTTCAGAAGGACGCCATTCTCCTGCCTGTGCTTTCTGCCTTCCCTTTAGCTCAGTCTCACGGTGCTGAGAAACAGCAGCACAAGGAACACATGGTTCTTCGGTAAAATAGATCTTAATCACTGCAAAAGCTGTCCTGTTTGGGCCTGTCCTTAAAAAGCCAGGTCATCTCAGAAGGGCAATAGTGATGCAGAAGGTCATGGGATAGAAGCCACCACAAAGGATGCCAGGGTCTGGCTGTTTGGGAAGCCGGCGGATCAAGCTGAGCCTGTGCAAGAGGAAGCAGCCACCAGCAGGGCTGGAACTGCTGTCATAAATGCTTCTGTCTCCAAGACTCACGATCATGGGGTAGTCCTTGCAGAAAGTGTTTGCTTGTGGCTTTCTTACAATCTTTGGCTTATACACAATTTGTCTGTTGAACCAGAGATTCAACAGACAATGGCAAAAGGCAAAAGAAAGGCAAAAGAGACAGTGCAAGGAAGAAGTCTGTGTCTGCTGGGCCATTATTTGAGCTTCTGAACTAAGAAGCTCATTCAGTAACTGCAGGGCCACTGTCACCCATGTGTCACAAAAGAAAATATAGAACAATGACTGACAGGTTGAATGTTCATACTTTGTGTTGCTGCTACCAAAGATGCCTCAAAGAACAACCTAGAGAAGACAATATTTATTCCTCATCTTAGAGGGTTCAAGTCAGTCATTGTTTGGCACTGTGAACATAGGCAGACCATTTGATAACAGGAGCATGTAGGGAAAGTTCTAATTTCATGGTAGATAGGAAACAGAGGAAGAAAATAAACAAATGGGCAGCCCTCAAGTTACTTCCTCCAGTTGGGCTCTAGCTCCCAAAGTTTTACAATGTCCCCAAATGGCACCAGCATCCAGGAACCAAACATTTGAGACATGAACTAGGGTGTGTTTGGTGGGCAGGAAGAGGCTATCTCATATTTCAACTGTGGTGGATGTTTATGGTAGACATGAATCAGCAACCTTTCTGAGAGGCACAACAATAGAGCTGGGGTCTATGGGAGAGATGCCTTGAGATGCTTCCCTTTTGGATGCCATTTCCTATCTTAGTAGAGGGATCTATCAGCACCTTCCCATCCCCAGTGCTTGATACATGCACTCATGCTGGGTTTTCGTCTTCCTCAACAGTGATGGGCAAAGAGCAGGTAGGAGAAGTGTTGGGTTCATCTTGGCTTGGGGCAGGGGATGAGGCTTTTCAAATTCCTCCCCTTATTAAAAATCTATTTATAGATTTTTTTAAACATTGTGTTCTGGGTGTATGTAGAGCTTATCACATCGGAAAACACACACACACACACACACACACACACACACACACACACACACACACACAAACACATATCACAAGTTAAGCTCTAGCCTTTCAAAGACCAGTGGATACATACATTGAAGATCAGTTTTAGTGGAATTCAGAAGACCCAGTACTGGTATCCAGCACTCAGCAGATCAGGGTATCTTCTGGTTCTGCCACTAACTTGCAGGGCCTCCTAGACTAGGCTGTTTCAACTTTAGCACCATTGATGCTTTGTACTGAATAATTTTTATAGTACCCAACTGTTTTGTGCATGTTCAGTAGAAGCCCTGACCTCTGCCCTGTGAATAGCAGTACCACCCATACAGAGAAACATTGGCAGTGGGAATGAGGGGCAGGCTCTTCACTTCATCACGGACCAGGAAACACTAGCATGGGGAATATGTCACATCATATTGGATCAGGAAGTAGAGAAAAAATTCAAGCCCTCAGCTATCTTTCTCCTCTTTTCCATCTCATCTACTAGCAAATAGGATAGTGTTACCCACACTCAGGGTGGGTCTTTCCCTTTCAGTTCATCGTCTATGCAAACCACATTAACTTCACCACAGTGTGCTTTAGTCTCCCATATGATTCTGTGTGAGACCTGCTGTTTTAGAGCAAGGTGTCACTTCCCAGATGTGAGTCCTCACTGATAGACAGTAGTGGCCCTACAAGAGCATCTGAAGTTTACTTTGGATCTGACGAATCCCTCAAGATAACGCACCAGACCTTCATAAGTGGTAGACAGCTTGTGTCAATCCAAATGGATCTCTAAGTAAGACTGTTTGTAAATATATTCTTTTACTATCTGTCGTGGGTTGCTTCTCTGATTAAAACACTGAACAAAAGCAACTTGGGGAAGAAAGAGCTTATTCCCTTGTAACTCCCAAATCTCAATACGTCATTGAGGGAAGGCAAGACAGGAACTTATGACAGGAATTTGGAAGCAGAAACTGAAGCGGGGACCAAGAAGGAAGGCTGCTTACTGGCTTGCTCAGTATGGTTTCTTATACAACTCAGTACTATATTCCAGGGGTGGCACACTGAAAGAGGGCTGAACCCTCCCACATCAATCATTACTCAAGAAAATGACTCCACAGACCTGCTTGACAGAGGAAATTCTTCAATTGAGGAGTCCTTCTTCCAGTGTGACCCCCCCCATCATGTGTCAAATTGACAAACTCTATTTGTTTTGTGTTTGTCTGGTTACCAAATACCAAGGGTTTTGTTTGCTTGTTTATTTGTTTGTTTTAGTGATTCCAAAAGACCTCAAAATACACATGGAATAGTTCTTCCTACCACCAAACTCTACTGATACAGTGAGGGGCAACAAAGGAGTGGCATACACAGACTTTGCTAAAATGACTTTTATTTCCCTTTCCACAGGGATTCTCACACTAAAAAAAGCAAATGAACTTCTGAGTACAGGTGTGCCTGGCAGTTTTCTGATCCGAGTCAGTGAAAAGATCAAGGGCTATGCCCTGTCCTACCTGTCTGAGGAGGGCTGCAAACATTTCCTCATAGATGCATCTGCCGACTCTTACAGCTTCCTGGGTGTGGACCAGCTGCAGCATGCCACCCTGGCAGATTTGGTGGAATATCACAAGGTGAAGCCACACATATGCCTAATTTATCTTGGGAATTATTGCCCTATAGATACATAGTAAAGCAAGCAATGGGAGGGGTGGCAGATAATTCTCCCGATAATGAGGAATCTTAATTCTGTGTCCTTTATCATATCCTCCTGACATACTCAGAGATATCCCACAGGAGCTAACAATACTGGAGATGAACATACTGGTCATTTCTGTGGACCATCCTTTGCTAGAATTTAGGCTCTAGCAGGAAAGGGGAGCTGCCTAGAGCAAAATCCCTTTTAAGACTGCCATAGGCCAATATAGGTTTGCACAAGCCTAGAGTAGAGGAGTGATATTCTGAGGAGGTAGCAAGGGTATCTACTACACAGCTGCCACATGATCCTGTGCTTTGATTGACAGGAAGAGCCCATAACCTCCCTGGGGAAGGAACTCTTGATGTACCCCTGTGGTCAGCAAGACAAGCTACCTGACTACCTGGAGCTATTTGAGTGACAGCTCTCATCGACATCAGCCTTCAGCCAGGTTCTCCTCTGGAGAGACACCTTTGAGGTGAACAGTTGCCTGTGATGCCAAAATCACTCTGTGACAGAGCCAAGAGTGAACAATGTCTGTGAGGTTAATTGAAACCTCAATTCTGCATAAATGCTGGAGTTCAAGTCAAGAGAATATGACCTCTCCTCCATCCTCATTCTGAAAGGAAAAGGGAGAAGTGTATCCATTTCAGCAACATTCTAATATGAAGTATAGGACCTTGAAAGATATGACCGTAATGCTGTATATAAGATAAATAACAAGGGTAAATTGAAATGTTTTTTTTTTTTAGCAGTTAATGTGTTACTCAAAAAACAAAAAACAAAAACAAACAAAAAACATGTGTGAACTGTTTTGTGATCTACATGTTACCTCTTTTGTATCCAGTCAAAAGTCTCAGTCACCTGCTCATATGAACTTCCGTCTTAGCTTTAAAATGCTAGAAAAAACATCTTCTCTTGGGGCCAAGATTATCATCAAAAGACAACTATTTCTGTATGTGTTGGAGCCAACATTTAGGAGACAGAAAAGCAAGGCCCAATTGGGAATTGAAAGAGAAGTATTAACAGCTGGGATGAGAGATGTAGCATGTACAAACAACAACAACAACAACAACAAAACAACACACACAGTAACAGTAGGGAGTCACATTGTATAGCTTGTTCCCCATTTTGCTTTGCCTCCTTTACCTTCATCTGTGAATAAATATAAAAGATGCTGTGCATGGCCATGTAAGGAATGATGTATTCATGCTACAAAGAGCAGAACAGAGTGAGTGGTTTGAATACCAGCTATTGAGAGTTAATGGTGTCCCACACCAAAGATACATGAAGTACTTACCTCCCTGTACATGTTGTGATCAGATATAAAAATAGGGTCTTTGCAGGTAAGTGAAGTAGGGTAGCCCTGACTCTAAAGACTGGTATCTGTACAAGGAAGAGAGATTTAGAAATAGACATAGAAAGATGAAGACTAAGGGACCACAGAAACAGAGTGAGTGATGCAGCTGTGATCAGGGGAAGCCAAGAATTATGGAAGACAACAGTACTCGGGGCTAGATTCTCCCTGAAACTCTATACTTATGCTTATCCACACCATTATTTGCGCCTTGTAGCTTTTAGAACTGTGACATAATAAATGTCAAAGTAACTGAATATATGGTAACTTTTTACATATCTCTCAGAAAAATAGTGCAAGAGTTTATGTAATCACAGATCCCACACATGTTTCATGGACTTGTTTCCTGTTACAGTTTGCACCCTCACAATGAAATAAAACTTGGATATGGGAAAAACAGTCCAAGTAATGCTGTCTAGCCTGTCAACACAGATTTATTCAGTCAGGAGTCTCTGGCCCTGCATCAGCCTTAACTCAAACCTCCAGCCATTCTTGTTCAGATCAATGAGGTGGGGCCAAAATTGGGATGGCAAGTGACCAGGGAGTCTGTTAGTCATGCAGTGTCATTTTTCCTGGGAGGAAGGAACTTTGCCCATAGCTAACCCTGTCTGTGCTAGCTTTCTTTTAATTTGCCTTTTAACAGAAGTAGAACGGTGCTACAGTTGTTGTGTGCAGCAGTCAAATGCACAACGTACCAACATAGAGGCTGGTGTGCACTCCAATAAGAAAACTTTGAAATTAGGGTTATAGTCAACTGTTTCTTGAAACATTCCATGTGGTTTGTACTGTTACGGTTTTATAAGACCCACCTTTTATCTATGTTTCCATGACTCAGCAGAATCTTTGCTCTGTTCTCATCTATCCCTTTTATTTTCCTGGTTCTCTCGAATGGGTCCTTTACCTATCTACATTAGCCATGTTTCTTATTGAAGTGATAAAAGTACCTGGCAAAGGCAACTTAAGGAATGAAGGATTTCTTTCAGCTCACGGTGTGAGAGTGCAGTCCATCCTGACAGGGAACCCATGGTGGCAGGAGCCTGCCAAAGCTGGTCACACAGAACCCACATACAGGAAGCAGAGAGATGAAGGATGGTGCTTGACTCACTCTCTGCTTTTATTCCATTGGGATCTCAGCTCATGAGGTTGTGCTGAAATACTCAGGGAGGCAATAAGAGTGGCTGGGTCCAAATATATGTGTCTGTGTTAAAGTGACTGAAAGAAGATTAAGAAAGAACAACCCAGTTAACCCAGTATAATTGCAGGAGGAGTAGATTTGAGTTCTGTACTATTTTTTTCTTATTGACACACAGAGGAATAAATGTTCTAGTGTTTGATGAGACAGTGGCCAGAAGGAATACTGAAATTATGAGGGCAGGAAAATGGTTTTCAGAATTGGAAATTTCAACTAAATGGGCTGAGAGGGAGCCTGAATACTTATTCTCACTGTCACGGTGGTATCTGATACTAGGTATGGTCTGAGGTAGTTCAACCCTGGCCCTGGTCTCCTCTTCTGTGTGTCAGTCAATAAGCCTAGATTCTTGCCCTTTCTGCTCAAGGTTTCTCATCTGGGGTGTTGCCTTTAGAGGTTTCTAATTTCAGAGGCTCAGGCCCATGGTCACTTGTGTCTTGGGCTAGAGCCAAGTGTCAGCCCCTGTCCACCTTGGTTCTTCTTTCCATCATTAAGATTCTGGGAACTCCCTGCTATAGTCATCTCAAATTTTCTACCCTTTATACTGCCATGTCAAGCCAGACCAAACATAGCAAGTAAAGGAAGAATACAGGAACAATTAAGACCAAAAAGAACCAAAGAGGCATACCATGAATATGTCTCTCAAAATATCTCAGGGCATCTATACCCTGAATTATCTACTTGAGCCAAGGCTTTGCCACTGGTTATTTTTTTGATGGGCTAGCATTAGTCTGTCTTCTAATGTTGTGATAAACACCATGACCAGAAGCAACCTTGAGGAGAAAAAGATTTACTTGGCTTACACATCCCAATCATAGTCAATTACTGAAGGAAGTCAAAGCAGGAACTGAAGCAGACAGCTTGGGTTGTTCTCAGGCTTGCATTCTGCTACCTTTCTTACACCTCTGAGGATCACTTTCCCAGACCTTATCAGAACCACAGTGAGTTGAGTTCTCCCACTTCAATCATCAATCAAGAAAAAAACAAAAACAAAACAAAAAACCACCACCAACAACAAAAACAACCCATAGACTTACCTACAGACCAATCAAGTGGAAGCTTCTTAATTAAGGTGTATTGGTGGCCCTTGTGCATATGGTAGTTTGGGGATTCCACTGTTTTGAGTATGGAATATTTATAGAATGAGAGATATATATCCATGGAGCTTATTTGCTTTGGTTCTTGTTGAGAACATGATAAATGATTACGGGGAAGGCCTGAAGCTAAGATGGATTGGAAACATGCCTAAAATCCTGAGAGCAACAGGAGTTTGGCTGCTCCCACATCTTCTGTGGATACCAGCAGACCACAGGAGATAGGCATCCCTTGGCAGGGACATGCCCTGGTGCAGGTAGCAACTGATAGGCTCATGTAGCTCCATGGCTGAGAGGACTGGTTGCTGCTTATCTGACCACTGAAACATCCTGGGTTGGGGCTGGACTTCTTTCTTTTCTATAAGACCTTATAAGGCTCCTTCCCCTAGGCCCTGTGGCAAATGAAGCACCCTCCTGTTCTTGCCTCAACCAATAACATACCACCACGTGGATCCTACTGGCCATTCTTCCTGCAGTATAACTGTCTCCTGCCCGCTCCCAATAAAGAAGCTTGTTTTCACAGAGTCTCATGAGTAGTATTCTTTCCCATTGTACTTGCCAATACTCAAGATTCCCCTTCAGCCCCAGCCCTGCTTAGACCTGCTCTCCCAGAACCTCCAATTTGGGCTAATGCATAATAGATTGGCCCTATGGGACAAAATAGGACTCGAGTTGGGCAAATGACTTTATGTCAGGATGTACTATATTTGTCTTTGTTAGAATGCAGCCCCCCCCCGCCAATAGTCACAGCTTTTCTATAATTACATCTTTAATATTTTTGTTTAAATCATGCTTTCCTATCCTTTAGGTTTTTCTTCTTTGCTTCTTATTTATTTTGTTTTTTTCTGCTGCTTCTCATCTCTGGCCCTGTGGAAGGAGAGACTGGATTTCCTGACATGTTAATTCTATGTTCTACTGTGACTACTCCACAGTAACACTGTCAAGTTAGTTTTATGCTCTGCTGCAATTGACACTACAGTTAAATTTCAAATTTATCTGTAGAGTGGTGAATAACTAGTTTCTCTATGCAAAGGCTTACTTAATGTTCCTCTAGATTGAAAACTATTAAGGCACTTAGGTAATGAAATTTTTCTCCCTTTAATGTATGATAAAAATATATTATTGGATAATAAAGTAGCTTGACATAGTGGAAAGAAAACCCAGCAGGCTTGGGTTTGTGTCCTGCCCATGTCATCAATTAGCCTTGTGGAATCATAGGAAATAAATTGCTGAACCTGCAGGAGTTTCAGCTTCTAAAATGAATGAGTGAAATCACCTGAGTTTTGGAGATTAGAAAAGAGTTATGTTAATTGTCCAGCATAGCGAAAGCTCTTATAAGTATAATCACTCCCCCTGAGTTTTCCTTTATTAACCTAGCTAATATGACCAATGGGCCCTGCATCCTATTGGCCACTTTCCTGGAATCTGGAGGAAACTTTTGAGGATATAATGATCTATACAGAACACTAGCTAGTTGAGCTAAAGAGAAATGGGTCAGTTAGCTTGGGATTTCAAGTGGCAAGGGAAGGGAGGGATATTTCCTAGTGATTTTGAAAACCCAAAGTATCCCTAAATTGGCAGTTGTCAAATTGACACAGTGGCCTGGATGTTCCTAACCACAATCTCCAAGTTAATACCTCCTTTTGGAAGAGAAGACTTGTGAATTTGCATCATACTCCGCCTATGTCCTTGTTAGGCCAGGTGGTGTCAAGACTGCACACTATGCTCCTGGTGCAGATTAGATTCATTGCACAAGTCCATCTGAGTCAGTTGTATGGTTTCCTCAGTTGAAAAGTTGCTTCATTTGCAAGTCTTCCCAGTAAATCAAAATCCTAGTAAGATCCCCATCCCAACATTGAATCAAAACCAAAGTGGCAATGGCATCTTCTCCTTGGGGATATTTCTCAATGATGTGAAAGAGTGTTACCAAGCTTCCCACCCAGGCCACTCTGACTATCCCTAACAGCCCCCACACAGTGGACATCATCTTTATATGGCTCAATGTTATATGAGAGCAGTTACAGGAGATAAAAAAGAGAAATTGAAAAAAACTTCCTTCAGGTTTTGCTTTAAATTTTTTTTTTTTTTTTTTTTTTTTTTTTTTTTTTTGAGATAGGGTTTCTCTGTATCGTTTTGGAGCCTTTCCTGGAACAAGCTCTGTAGCCCAGGCTGGACTTGAATTCACAGAAATCTGCTTGCCTCTGCCTCCCCAGTGCTGGGAATAAAGGCGTGTTCCACCAATGCCTGGCAAGAGGTTTGCTTTAAATTTAATTTGGATGATATTCTATTGTTTGTTTTGTCTTTATTTCAAACATTTAAATGCATTTAAAATGGCTTCTTTAAGACCTTGATGGATGAAGATGCTTATAATAGGTTTTCAGCCTGGGTTGGAGGCTGAGACTGGTGATAGATTTGAGAGCTTCGTGGACTAAGATCTGAGTAGAGGCAGCTACCAGAAGATCTGTGAGTACTTCATTCCCACCTGAAGTGTGGCTGTGGAAGAAGGAATAAATCCAATTCTCCTAACCATCCACACCAGATTCATAAACATTTGGTTCTTTCTAGTAGAGCATCTCTTCCCTACTCCCACGCCCCTCTGACACACACGCATATTCTGGCCCTTGATGAATGTGGAGGAAATAGTGGACGAAGGAGCATGGCCTGGCTTCTCTCTCCAATAGTGTCCTGTCCTACCAGGCTGTGATATTCACCATGGCCTCCCTTCCTATCACCTCACCCATGGTCTCTGTCCTCTTTTTTACTAGCATTGCCAAGGGATAAGCCCCAGGGCTTCTGCAGAGGGTACCATAAGAGGCTGAGTAAGGCAGAGCCATTTAAAAAGGTATCTCTGTGGACAGGAAATAACATATTCTGTGTGTTGGGGAAAAAAACCTAATCCCCCAAAATCAACTGGCATGGACCCCACCACTTTTTGGCAGCAACAACAAAGTCTGAGTCTTGCCAAGAGAAACAGCTTTGAATGATAATACATAGCCAGTCAGAATGTAACCACAGGGAGCTCAAGCATCAGTGGGCAGGGGAGCAAAGCACACCTGCCTTCCTAAGAAACTGCCAAAGGTCATTGTCTCATCAGCAACACCCAGGCATATGAGAAGCCCCCATCTGACCTTCTATGTGAGCATCTTGAAACCTCACCTTTTGGGGCTCTGATTATGAGCCTGGTCCTAAGGCTTCACACTCAAACACCCAGCCCAGCTCATCTCTCTGCAGCTGGAGAGATGCAGGTGGCTGGGTTGTGTGGCTCTTCCAGGTCGGCTGTGACAAAAAGTTTCACTCCTCTGGGTTTCTTATATGTGTAGAGAAGAAGTGGGAGCAAATACGAAGAGGGCTGAGGTCTAGACTTGCCTGATGCAAACTTCTTTCCCTTAGCACCTGGAGCCTGCTCCAGGATGGAATGTTGACATGAAGGCCTGGAGTTAGTTTATGAGCCAATCTCTTAACAGTTCTTGACCTCAACTGTCTGTACCCGGAAAATGGAATTCCTACACTAATCACCTTAGAAGTTATTCTGAATGTAAGAGATTTTGCCCTACTGTCTCATCAACCCTAGATTGCTAAGCATTGAATTGGAATTGAAGGTGGTAGCTACATATTATATCTTACATTCCTACTACAACTTTCCTTTCACAGACTTTTCTGAACAGCAATACAAAGGACAAAAAAGAAATGCATGGTGGTTTCATAATCTCAAATGGATGGCCCACAGTGGCCCCCTGATTATCTTCAAGACTTCGAGGCATACTGAGAATCTTGACACTGTCCAGAAACAGTGTGTAAACAAATCCTATGTGCTGACCAGGTCGTAAGTACTCATCTAACCCTGAAACAACTGTAGGCTATAGAAATGATTGTATTCATCACCCTAAAGGAAGAAACTGGGATCCACAGAGACATGGAGTAGCTCATCTTAAATGGTGTATGTTCTGAGTTTAGGGATGAGAACTTAGGTCATGGTGGTCTTGATACATAAGCCATAACAGCTACCATACAGGCCCAAGCCCTGGTATGATTCAATGAAATAATAGAAGGATTTTCCTGAAACAAAGAGTTGAAATTCTGGGAGCTACTTTCAGTGTGGAAGAAGGCAAAGCACCCACACTTATGAACCCAGGGGCTCTGTGTGTGTGTGTGTGTGTGTGTGTGTGTGAGAGAGAGAGAGAGAGAGAGAGAGAGAGAGAGAGAGAGAGAGAGAGAGAGAGAGAGAGAGAGATGCGCTAGAAAGCACAAGATTGGAGAGTTCCAGCACAAGGACAAGAGGTATGCCACTTGGAATCACTCTTTGTTGACAAATATTTAACAAAAGGTTATTGGTGTGGTGGTTAGAGATTGGGTGGCCTGATCTATAACATTGAGTGCCAAGATTCAATCTGTCATCATGAGAGAGAGAGACAGAGACAGAGAGAGAGAGAGAGTTACAAACTGGTAACAGCTCTCACACAAGAGCATCAATCATAGTACTTGGTCGGAGCCTCATGTATATTAGAAGGAAACTGGACTGCTTACTAAGCCACTTACAGGGACGAGGAACAGAGTAAGTATTCATGAAGCTAGGAGGGGCCTTTGACACGTCAGGCATCTAGCACTGTCCTTCCTTTGCAAGAGGTAGTGTGCCTGAGTCCTTCAGTCCAGGTTTATTTCTGCTTTCCTTTGCTGTGTGAGGTGGAATTTCAGCCCCTTGTTTACATTTAGTGAAGCCTCCCCATCCTTCATTCACATAAGCCTGGGGTCAGAGCTCCCTATACGTGGACAGGAAGTAAAGAGCTAGGAAGAGTCTTGAAGACCAGCCATCCTCATCTTTCTCCTCCAAAGCCCTCACTGCCTGACTTTCTACCATCATCAAATTCTGAATGTCATAAAAGTATGAATGCCTGGAAGGGTAGATCCATTAATGAAGTCAGAGATCCTATCACTCCCAAGATCCCATCCATGGAAACAAAATCTTTAACAGATGAGCCTTCAGGAAATATTTCAATCTGAAACTGCAGCCGAGCTAAGCTTTAAGAGGAAGAAAATTGTTTCCTGTCCTCTTCAGTTACTCCCCAGTGACTTTTAAAATTAGATTTATTTTCAAGTTATCATACAAAATAATGGGCTTCATTATGGGCCCTAAACATATATGCACACACTGGGCGCTTTCCTCTATTGCTTCCCACTTTATTTTTTGAGAGAAGGTTTTTCGCTGAACCTGGGGCTTGCTGATCAGCCAGACTGGCTGGATAGAGGCCCCAGGATGCTCCCTGCTTTGCTTTCCTTCCACACAGTGTTCGAGCTAGAGGGGCCCCAAGTTCACTTTACCTACTGAAGCTTTTTTCCAGTCCTCTCAGCAACCTTTAAAATCAATTCTTAGCCAGGTATGCTTGTACACAACTGTAACTCAGGCATGTGAGAGTCTGAGCCCAAAGAAGCAGGGTGAGTTTCAGGCCATTTTGGTTGACAAAATGAGACATTATCTCAAAAGACAAAAATCTTTTCGATGTGATGGACATGTAATGTATATAGTGTGAACAAGTTCAAATGCTGACTATCCTGGAGTCATCCAGGGACTGCAACACCAAGAGACAGCTGAACATTTGATGGCTGTCTACCTTGTGTGTCTACCTTGTGAGAACATCAGCAAGTCAGTCACAAATCCATAAGGAACAATAGCTACGGGCCCAAAGGCTCTATGATCAGAGTATGTGGAAAAGGCAGCATGGAAAGGGATTCCAGAAATCATTTTTCAATTTCACCTACCTAAAAATTAGCATGAAATGTCAAAACTTTCCTTCTATCCCTGTAGTTCTCAGCCAGGGGTCTTGCTCCCATTCCTTGAGTGTTTGACAATGAATAGAGACATTCTGGTTGTCAAAAACCGAGTGGGAGATGACCCAGGCATTATGTGTGCAGAGGGGCTGTAGGGATATTGCACAGGACAGTCTCCTCCCTCACTGAGTGCCCAAGCCCCAAATGTCAACATTGCTAACACTGGAAAGCTTTGGTCTATGCACAAAAGAATTTTCCCAAACTCAAGACTGTATATTTATTATTCCAGGAGGAAATCAAATTCACAAATTTTATTAGCTGTGCAATGCCACTTTTCATTCTTGTCTCGTGTTTTAATTAAACTTTATAAACTTTATAAATGACCAGTCCAAATCAATACAATGCTCCTCTCCCCCTCCCCAGACACACACAGCTTGAGTGTTCTTTAAGCATTTAAACAATGAATTCATTGTGGGCAAACAGAAGGCACAGAGACAGAGGAGGTAAATAGCTCATGCATCTGGTGCTGGCTAATAAATAAATAATTTGCACATGGATGTAGAACCCACTCAATGTTACCCATATTTATTTTTTTAAAAAAGAGTTTGAAGTTGTAAGAAAATGCAAGCTTCAGAAGCATCTTGGCAACCGAGTAACATTGCTTATTTTAAAAATAATTTGCTTCCACGTAGCCAGGGATGAGTGAAAATGTAGCAAAATCTTCCATCTCACTGGATTAATGGACTGGTCTTTCACAAAATATATGTATATTTTTCCTGCATTTTCTTCTTATGGAAGCCAGAGACCAGAAAGAGCACCCTGCTTTGAAAAGCGATTGTTTGGTTCATGACTTTGGTTTATTCAAACAGTTAAGAAAGTGGTCCCCATTTCTCCAGAGGGGAATGTATGTTCTCCAGTAACAATACCAAGGTGTTAGTGAAGACAAAAGTGTCTTTTCCTTTCTCCAGTGTTTGATTGTTCCTCTTTGGACAGTCTTAGTTTCTATATACCTTTCTCTCTGCTGCCCCATACAGCCTTATCTTCATCTGAGTTTGGCAAGTCCTCAGATTTGCTATCAGATGTTTGAAACTGAAGGTTCTTGTCACACATCTCTATAGGTAATATTGGTGGTGCATATCTGTAATTTCAGAACCCAGGCTGCTGAGGCAGAAGGATCTTGATTTCAAAGTTAGCTTGGACTCTGTGTCAAGAAGTCTCAAATAAACAAACCAACAAATCAACACAAAATAAAAACAAATCTTAAAAATCGTGAAAGTTATATACTTCAATGTGCTCCTCCTAAGGCTTGCAAACAGGTAATTAAATAAACATAATACAAGAAAAAATGCATTTTTAGAATATTGACTAAAAGATAACTGAAAAGAGGGTTTTTTTTTTGGTTAATATTGGGGGCATCACAGTACTGACAGTTTGTTTCCAGGTCCCTTTATTTTGCTCACTGTCCCCTGGAGGGTGTTCATGTTCTATCTCCACATTTCTCATAGGTTCTCTGCTTCTTCTGAAGCTCTGATAATCCTGGATACCAAAGCTTTATGATGTAACCATTCTTAAGAAGAGAAGCCAGTGTGCTTGCATCTCTTCTAGTGAACTTTTTGCAAAACTAGTCTGAGGTCATGAATATTTCAGTGAGCAGGGACAGAGAGATCATTTTGCTGTAAGCACAGTCACTGTCACCATACACACAGCCTACAGGAACCGGACTCTGCTTTCATCTCTTTTACTCATCCGGACAGATTCTTTGTTGCCCTCTGTAGAAGTCTATACCTTGTTGCATCTACTTGTTCAGTAAGTGCCTAAGGCAAACAACTTCAATGTCTCTGCTAATCTGTGCCTATGAGGTCATGTCTTTTTACTGCCCGCCTTCTGCTTCTGTTTGCGAAGGTGAGCCTCTATTTCATGCCGGAAGACAAGCATCCCCAGCTGCCCATGGGATGCCTCATTCATGGCCTTGGATTGCATGCACATCTTGTACTGCTCAGGGGTCAGTTCGTCCATACAGTGCTTCTCATGCCAAAGGTGGAAAAGTCCCCGTACAGGCGTGCGTACAACTATGAGATTGCTGTGGAGATACTTCCGGTACAGGTGCACATCTTCACCACCCCAGCCTTTGATGTCCAGGTCAAATCCACCTGTGGGAACAGAACATGCTATTGAATTGTGTGGCATACACCCATCTCCCATGGACTTTTCATCCAGAGGCTTGTTGGGGGTGGGTAGGGATATAACTCCATGTGTGGAGTACTTGCTTTGTAAGCATGAGAAACTGAGTTCAACCCCACAGAACATACATGAAAACAATTTAAAACCCAAGAGTAGATACCCAAAATGGTGGCATGCACTTGCAATTGCAGCAACAGGAAGGCAGAGACAGGTAGATGACTGGGGCTTGCTGGTCAACCAACCTTGTCTGATTGACAAGTTCCAGGCCAATGGGAGACTCGGTCTCCAAATTAAAAATGTGGATGACACATGAGGAATGCTATTTGAGGTTGTCTTCTGTTCTCTGTCCTTCATTCCCCCATATACCCAATAAAGAAATGTTCAGGGAAGGTGACTTCTGAAGCACCATCCATTCACGTTCTGAGCACCCATCTGTGTAAAAGACTTTGGATGGACATGCCAACAGGAATGATCTTCATGGCACACCATGTAAACTTCATCATTAACAGGATATTAGAAGGATTTAAGGATTGGGCTGTTTGAAAGAGCCATCATCAGTACTAATGAGTAGCTCTGGACCAGGGTTAAGGGCTTAAGAGCATCCTTCCTATTGAACTTTTCACCTTGCAATGCAAACCCTGTATTTCTTCTTCTGGGTGTGGCTCCTTCTGTCCCTACACCCTGTCCCAAACATTCTCATGTGACCTCTTTATCCCTGCCTCCAAGCCCCAGCTACACTGCTCTGATCAGTGCCAGTTCAAACCAGGAAAACTCAGGACCAGAAATCCCAACAAACCAACACTGAGTGGTGTTGGTTTATGAGTGACTATGGCCTGGCAGTAGGGGAACAGCAAGAAGGCTGAGATCATAGGCCAGGCAGGCAGAGTTTAGAGCCATTTTTCCTAGCAAAGTTGCTACTGAACTTATCAAGTTGTTTTATTTTTCTGAGACAGCAGCTTGCTGTATAGATAGCCCAGGCTGGACTTAAATTTTTAATTTTTAATTTCTACTGTCTTTACCTCTTAAACACAGAGACTACTGGGATGGGCCTACATGATGGTGCCAGTCTAAAGTTTTTTTTGTTTTTTTTTTTTTAATCCTTCAATGAAGTAGATGTTATAACCAACCAAACAAGCTAGAATTTAGTAAGGGGTTGGCTTGGTCAAATAAAATTTATTATTGTCTCTAGCATCTCTTATTAAATACCAAGGTTACAAGAAGGAAACTTGTAAATAAGGACATAGTTGCAAAGAATAGCATCCAAGGGGACTGAGAAGCTCTGAGGTCATGACAGAGGTCCCCAGACAAAGAATCCCCTCCCCAACTCACTGTGTCCCCATTTGTTGAAAGCACAGTAACATCTCTCTTCAGAGAACCCAATGCAATATGAATCCAAGTGTGATAAACATAAGAGTCCTCACATCATAACATCATCTCCTTCTGCACACAAAGCAAAGGAACAATCGTTTCTTCAAATGGGGATTATTTTTAAAAAACTGAATATTATTTTTGGGAATCTGATATGCATACAGTCCCTAGGAATATTTCCCTAGAGATATAAAAGAACACCTGCTGTCTCTTCAGAGTGGCTGCCACTCAAGACTTGGCACTGTGGCATTCTGATGCCTCCCTAGGGACACAAATCCAGTTGTGTGGCATTATTTTCATTTTAATCTGATGATTTCTGTGGAACAAAACATGCCTCAGCCTGCTTCTACTGCCTGCTTTTAAATGGGAAACTTTAGGCTCAGACCTGGGGGAGGGGTATGGGAGAGAGAAGTGGGGAGGGTTATGGGAGAGAGAAGGACAAGGTACGCGATGGGTCTGGAGCGGAGTCTCTTCATCACTTCCTAGGGAGAAGGGCTTCCCCAGAGCCCAAGTCAAGGCTTGGACCTGCTCCTTCTTGCCCTAGCCATGTATAATACTCCTCTCCTTCCACTTACTGCAAGGCTTTAGCAGGCTCCTTGGCCTCTGACCACTTTGGTCTGTTCTGCTAAGTTCTGGAACTCTGCAGGAATTCTCATATGTATTTGTAAATATGTTCATTTAACCTTTTATGTATATAACATCTCTATACATGTCTGTGTACATTTTCATGTGTGCCTATATATACTTATATATACATATACATATATATATATATGTATGTATAAATGTCTGTGTTCAAATATGTGTCATTTTATAACTATGTAGATATGTATCCAGGTATGTCTCTCTGTGTGCATGTGTGTCTGTGTTCAAACATATGTCATTGAGCACATGTGTATATACATGTCTGTATCATCTCTGTGTCCATGCATCTCTGAGTGTCTGTATGTATAGAGATGTTCACACATAAGTGTTCATGTTGACAACAACTGCATCCTAAGAGCTTAAAGTGACAGATGGAACTCCAGAGTGAAACAGGTCTTCTTTGCATATGTTTTTCCCAGATTCCCCTCTTTTTCCTCATTCCTGGAAGCTCACAATGTCCCTGTTGGGGGCTCTACAGTAGGAACCCACAGAGGAGGAGACACCACAGTACTTGCTTGAATGCTGCCACTGTAAAACCCTGGGTGTTACTGAGTACACCTGAGAGAGGATAGTGTGTGTGACAGGGTCCCAAATGCTGCCACTGACCTGAAGGGCGGCACTGTTTGGGGAAATGGCAGGGGAATTCGCTCAAGGCCAGCAGGACAGTGGCCTCCAGGTGGCAGTAGACTCGAAGTTTTAGCTTACCTATGTTGATGAAGTCCGACCGGTACTGACAAGTCATCCCAAATCCAAAGTCCCTCCAAAATCCAGTTTCCTTCTTTATGACCTGCAAGGAAAAAACCATCAGAGGGAGTATATAAAACTGATGCTCACACACTGAGGCGAGCAGTGCTCAATATTGAGCCCCTCTGCCAACAAATAGGCAAGATGGAAGTGTGTGTGTGTGTGTGTGTGTATGTGTGTGTGTGTGTGTGTGTTTACCAAAAAGAACTACAATAAGTCAAGGCCAAATTGGGGCCTTGTGATGTTTGGCACCTCTGGACAGGATGTTCATGTGTAGGCATGAAAATATGCACACACTCTCACACACAACCAAAATCAATCTCAGAGAGCTTTGAGTGGAGCCATGGAAAAGCCACCTACATATCTGGCGCCTGGTCCTGGTGCTAAGGAAAAGTGAGGTGGGGCCCCTTACACAGGCCTGGGCACAGAGCCAACAGAGGGCTCAGGAAGTTGAGACAAGGCCTCGGAACCACTGAGAATTCATAGCTCAACTACGGGGAATGAGAAGAGGAACCCGAGTGACTCCTGTTGTCCCTGGCTCACTGGCCCCACTATCTCTGACTGGCTGAGGAGAAGGTAGCTCTAATGGATGACACTGCTCCAGAGAGCTCCTGCTGGAAGCGCCAGACTGCAGGGTGGCCAAGAGGCCATCCAAGCAGTGACTGAAAAAATCAGAGCAACACATTTCTGCTCGGTTTCTTCCTTGGGAGAAAATTTCCAGCAAATTTGCTGAAGCAACAAAACTTAAAAAAGAATAGAGCTCGACATGTGCACACACACACATGCACATACATGTATTCAGACAACTACACATAGGCTCACAGAGAGTCACATGCATACAGGTGTGTACATACAAATTTGTCAGAAGGAATTCTGGAAATGGGTTTGAAATCTTTATAGCTAGTTTCCCCCATGACCTTTGTAATCCCATTGAATATAGGAAGTCCCCTCCCTTGGGAGAGGAAAACAGAGGACCGAAGAGAGTCCCTCTGACTAAAGCCTACATCTGTTTGCTGCTCATTTGTAACAGCTCATAAGAAAGGAAAGGCAGTCCTGTCCAGCTCCACTACTGGCTGACCACTCCTCACTTTGATTTCAAGCCCCTGTTTTTCTTCCTATACAATTAAGCTAAATCACAGCTAAATTGTCTTCCAGCTCATTTATTGCATCACTGTTATTCTATGTTCCAGAACTTTCCCACGACCTAAATTATATTTGATAAATGCCTTGCAAAATAGTTAATGAATCTTAACATATTCTTTTACCCCAGAATGCAATAGTGCAGAGGCTATGTCATGCTATGGGCACCAGACCTTGCTCATGATGAGGCACTTTAACAACCTGTCAAGTAGTGGAAGAGGCTCAGGAAATCCCTCTGACCCTTCTCCAACCATGAAGTTCATGGTTGCTGGGGGAGGAAAAGAGATCTTTGCCAGTGGTGTAGCCACTTGTAAGGTGCCCACACTCCTGTAAATTGTGCCCACCTGTGCCCCTGCAAGCAAGCCTGGTGAAACTCATCAGGTCACCAAACAATGACGTATGTAAAAATAGGAGACAGAAAACTTTAGAAGGACTGGGTAATGCAGGAAAGTCTGCAGAACTTCCACTGAATAAATTGCCAATGGATTCTGTTCCTTCTCCATCATTCACGTAAACTTTTTTATGTTGCACTAATGGCTTAATATCCCTTCTACTGTCCATGGTTCTAGATATCTCCCAGACATGGAGTTGTAACATGAATAGTATATACCCAGAGGTGGACATTGGGGTTGAAGCTGAGGGTCAGACAAGCAAAGAAGCCAGCCACTTCGTTCTTTCCTCTACCTCAGCCTGAAAGGGTTGTCCTGTCCCCAGGGTGGCTGCAGACTAGTTCCCTCATGAGACCCTTTGCTTTTCCTTTTATACCTCTCAAATCCTGGAATAAAAGGCATCAGGTCACAAGTGCTGAGATCTCCTTTGTGTGAGCTGTTTCTCTTTTATACTGAATCAATTTCGTGTAGCTCAGTGTAGCCTTCAATTAAGAGAGATCTGTCTACTCTGTCTCCTGAGTTCTGGGATTAAAGTGTGTACAACCACCACCTAGCTTCTATAACTAACTAGTGTGGTTGCTGGGATTAAAGGTATGTATCACCACTGCCTGATCTCTATGGCTTGAGGCTAGCTTTGCATTTTGAACAAGTTCCAGACAGGAAGAACAATTCTCTCTGAGTATTTGTGGAGCTAGCCAGATCACCTTTTAGTCTGAAGTAGAGGAGAGATCTAGTGGCTGGCTGCTTTGATTCTCTGATCTTTCAGCTTGAACTCTGATATCTGTCTCTGGGATTTTATTATTTGTGTTACATGGAAAGGAAGAGAAGTACCAGTATCTAAACTTCAAATATTTGACAGTACTCTACACAGGATTTAAAGAGACAGCTCCTTCCTGGAAGAACAATCAGGAGACCTGAGGAGGAAGCATAAGTGTGCTCCCAAGAAGCCACCGTCTCAAGATTCTGTTGTGTTGTGTTGTGTTGAAGGACATAAGGAAGGGCTATCCTGCCATGAAGAGGCATGCCAGCAACACACTGATTTATGGCCATGGGTCGAGGTATAGAAACAGTTATTGAGTTGGTTTTTAAGCCAGTAAGCCACAGAAAGCCACTCTGGGGAGAAGTCATCGAAATGTAGTCTTTTGTGGAAACTGACATGGCTGTGTCACAGCATGTAATTTCAGGATAAGATGGATTTCACTTATTGGAGGTTCTACCACCATAGCTGGGCCAAGTTACTAACTGTTGCTTTCCAGTGTTGCCTTTGGAGAGCAGCCTGGCAGAAATGAATGCTCTTATTCTCTCCTCGTGGGATGGCATCAGGTTACTGCTGAAGACCTTACAAGAGCCACAAAGGATTTTCAATCTTCCACCCAGGCCTGCCTGCCTCCTCCTCTCCTCTTTATCCCCTTTGAGCCTCCACACCAGTAGTTCTCAATCTTCCTAATGCTACAATCCTTTAACTCAGTCCCTCATGTTGTGGTGACCCTAATCATAAAATTATTTTCATTGCTACTGTAATTTTGCTACTGTTATGAATCACAATGTAAATATCTATACTTTCTGATAGCCTTAGGCAACCCCCATGAAAAAGTCATTTGATCCCCCCAAAGGGATCATGACCCACAGACTGAGAATTGTTGCTTTATACTGGCACATTTCCTGACCTCCAAACTCCCCAGGCTCACAGGCATCTAAGGGGTTTCTACAGTCCCTACATGGTCACCTTTCCCTTGCTCAATATTGCTCAGAGTGATCACCCTGACTCTCCTGGCCAATGCCCCATTTCCCCTCTATACTGTGATCCTGGCTTAACTTCCTTATAACATCAGTAGTGAAATGATCCCATGGGTGCATTTGTTTCTTGGTTTGCTATCTTCACCCACACCCTTAGGGAATATCATCCAGAGTCTTAGTCCCCTGTGTTGCCAGCACCACACAGCTGTGCAATTAATAGATACATTAATAGACACTCTTTAGTGGTTGAAGGAGGAAGAGTTCTAAGGTAATGATGGCTCCTAGTCTGTGGAAACCAACATGCTTCAAGCAAGAAACACTTGTCAGCAAGAACTTCCAGTGGTGAGAACTGTCAGGATTGTATGGATCCAAACCAATAGGCAAAATTTTCCTCATGTTCTTGAGGCCTAAGGCACCAAGCCTGACTTATACACTTTGAGTAAGACACAAGCAGTCCCATCATTCTGCCCAGGTCCCCAGAATAATTTAAATAAATTATTTAAATATATATAAATATATATAATATTATATACTTTATATATAAATATATATTATATATAATAAATATTTATATATATTTAAATATATATAAATATATATTTATTTAAATATATTTAATTATTTACACACACACACACACACACCCCAATGGTTCTACCACAGGATCAAAAGTAAGCCTTCAAACTTACTCATCTCTTCCTCTTGTTCTAACTTCCATTGATTTACCTACAGGTGCCATAGTCACTTTAAAGATGTCCTCTGTCTGGTGCTGGTCCTCTTGTCCACTCTTTCTATAGCACCTTTCTACTCCACAAAAGTTTGCAAAAGTCTGTGGGACCAAGTATTCCATAAAGGTTTCTAGAATTACAGCTTTGTAGGCAAGTCACATGACAGGGGTATTTTTTTTTTTTTTTTTTGTTTAATTAGGAACAAAACACAAAACACAAACCATCAACTCCCTGTAGAGTTGAGGGGAACACAGCCACCACACAGCTGCACAGGCATCCTGGAGCATAGCCAGTTGCCTGTCTGATTTAATGGTGTTGGGCTGGGCAGCTGCCTATGAAGCGATTTGAATTTTAAAATTAAGTAAACTTCGGGGAGAGAATTCTCTCTAAACCAAAGAGTGTTTCTCTAGAACTGAAGCTAGATCTGACCAGCCTTCTTTGTCCTAGGAATGCCCAGGAGCTGGGCATGTTTGCAGGCACGTGGCTCACAAAATTGCACAAGGTCCCATGCTTGTTGCAATTGTCTTTCAGTTCTGAACACTTTTGGAATGGGTTCTGCATTTTGGTTTTGTTCTGAGATATTCTACTGATAGTGCAGGCCCTGCCTCTGAATACTGAATTGCAGCCATTTCTAGGTCTGACTATACCTTGTACACTCTTTATTATCTGGGAAGGGAAGGGCCAGTGATCACCCTACAGAGGGTTCTGGGGATGAAGGTTATGTGTTCCTCATTTTGAAATCTCTTCAAATGGAGGCGGAATCATTTGCTCAGGTTCGTTCTGCTGAAACAGAGCTCACAAGTAGGATTTCCATGAAGATCCTGGTTTAATTTCTTGAGAAATAATGCATTCTGGAGCCATAGGTTCCCCAGAATTTATTTAATAATAGGCTCAAATCTGATCTCTACAGAGTGTCACTTTTGCAAAAGTCTCATTGGTTTCTGAATAAAGGATGACAGTGACTTCTAAGGGGTTCAGGCTGGACACAGACCACTAGGTCTCTAATTTCTGGGATCTAGACTCTTGGTCCTCCTTGAAGTACATTGGAG